TCACGAGGTCAAGAGATCGAGACCATCCTGGTCAACACGGTGAAACACCGTCTCTACTAAAACTACAAAAAATTAGCTGGGCATGGTGGCGCGTGTCTGTAGTCCCAGGTACTCAGGAGGCTGAGGCAGGAGAATTGCCTGAACCCAGGAGGCGGAGGTTGTGGTGAGCCGAGATCGCGCCATTGCACTCCAGCCTGGGTAACAAGAGCGAAACTCCATCCCCCCCCACCAAAAAAAAGAGAGAGACTTGAGATCTCAAGGAAGAGGGATAAAGAATAATTTTGCATCACTTTCATCTACCCATTTATCTACCCACCCATCCCTCTATCAATCCACCCACCCATCTATCAACCCAATCACCCATTCACCCATCTGTCCACACAGTTATCCATCTATCCAACAACTCATCCATCCATCTGTCCATCCATCCTTCCATCCATCCATCCACCCATCCACCCTTCCATTTACCACCCACCTCTTCATCCATTCATATACCCATCCATCCAACTTTCCACCTACCCTTCTATCCACTAATTCACCCCTTCATCCACCCATTCCCCCTCCCACCCATCCATCCATCCATCCATCCATCCATCCATCCATTAATCCATCCAACCACCCACCCTTCCATTCATTCATCCACCCACCCTTTCCTCTATCTACCCACTCACCCATCTATTTACCCACCCACTCATTTGTCCATCCTTCCACCCACTCATCCATGCATCCAAACCTTTCACCCATTCACTCACCCCCTATCCACCTATCCATCCATCCATCCATCCATCCATCCATCCATCCATCCATCTATAGTCACTCAACAATGCGTCTCAATTGACTACAGTTGCTTCCAGTAGGTCAATCTGGCCATATCATGGGGGATAACTGGAGAGACCTTACAGTCATCAGTGCAGAAATGACCGTGGGTCCACACCAATGCCTTAGCCTGGGCTTGGGGCATAATGAGGAACTGGGTACTTAATGTTTCACCTCTGATTTACTATCTTTCTGAGGCTCTTGATCAATGATGCTCCAACACAAGGTGCTTATCAATTTGATATTGATTTCATATTGTATTCCCAGTAACTTCTTGGAGTCTTAAGAATTTTTGTACCCATACTTTACCCCTAAAAGCCTGGTGATTATTTACCATTTCCCAATCACATTCTCTGGCAGATCATCTACTGTCTTCTGATTTCTTCATCTCTATCTCAGCTGTACCATTACATCACAAGGCAGGCTGTAGTATCAATTTTCAGTGGTGTATTTTCCAGGTCAGCCTTCCATGCAATCTGTTTGCTGCTTTGCAAATAAGTCACTTTATTATACTACTTTTTACTTATTACAAAATGGGCATATAAACGCTTCCATTACAGAAAAAAAAATTAATGTAAAATACCTGGCACAAAAATAGCTGCCCATTTACCCTACAAATTCAGATACTTTGGTATATCCTGAGCATACTGTAGGAAGTGAGACAGTCCAGGTCTCTGGCTGACAAAAAGTTCACATTCTTCTTTAGAAGAAAGAAAGAAAGAAGAACAAGATATGAGAGTGACTTAAAAACACATTATAGATGGAGAATAAGTGTAAGAGGCATTGTATTAGTGATCTATGGCTGCATAACAAATTACCACTAATTTAGCAGCCTGAGACACCTATTTATTATTGCAGCTGTTGTGGGTCAGGAGAGTCCAGGTACAGCTTACCCGTCGTCTGCTTTGGGTCTCATAAGGATGCATCGAGCCAGGTGCGGTGGCTCACGTCTGTAATCCCAGCCCTTTGGGAGACTGAGGCAGGAGGTTGAGACCAGTCTGGCTAACATGGTGAAACCCTGTCTACTGAAAATACAAAAATTAGCTTGGCGTGGTGGTGTGCACCTGTAATCCCAGCTACTCAGGAGGCTGAGGCAGGAGAATTGCTTAAATCTGGGAGGCAGAGTTTGCAGTGAGCCGAGATCACACCACTGCACTCCAGTCTGGGTGACAGAGCAAGACGCCATCTTGAAAAAAACTGCAATCAAGATGTCAACCAGCGCTAGGTACTCATGTGGAGGCTTGACTGAGGAAGGGTCCATTTCTCCACTCCTGTGGGTTGCTAGCAATATCAGGTTCTTTGTAGCTATAGGATTCATGGTAGACTGCTTCTGTAGCACTTGTAAGAAGAGAAATTGAGAAAGAGAGGAGAGAGAGAGAGAGAGAGAGAGCAAATGCCCTAACAAACAGTTTTATGTCATGTAACATAATCAAGAACATTGGCCGGGTGCAGTGGCTCATGCCTGTAATTCCAGCTCTTTGGGAGGCTAAGGTGGGTGGATCACAAGGTCAGGAGATCGAGAGCATCCTGGCCAACATGGTGAAACTCCATCTCTACTAAAAATACAAAAAATTAGCCGGGTGTAGTGGCACATGCCTGTAGTCGCAGCTATTCAGGAGGCTGAGGCAGGAGAATCGCTTGAACCCCGGAGGTTGCAGTGAGCTGAGATCACACCTCTCTACTCTTGCCTGGGTGAAAGAGCGAGACTCTGTCTCAAAAAAAAAAAAAAGAAAATGGGGTTACAGTCATATTGACAGACCAAGAGATGATGGCCATGGAAAAGGTGGTCTGTTATAGTTCCCAAGAGGAGGGGCAGGCTATACTGTGGGAGGGTACGGGGGGAAGTACCAGGGTCAGTCAGGAGGCAGAGGGAGGAGGAAGACTGTGGGCCAGAGCTTGTATTGTATTTTGTGGTGGGGAACAGGATTAGAGTTGGCCGGGCAAGATGGCTCATGCCTGTAATCTTAACCCTATGAATGGATGGATGGATGGATGGGTGGGAGGGTGAATGAATGGACGGATGGAAGGGTGGGTGGAAAGTTGGATGGGTGGGTGGATCCATCCACTTTGGCCTCCACCCATCCACTCTGGGAGGCCAAGGAGGGCGGATCACCTGAAGTCAGGAGTTCAAGATCAGCCTGGGCAAGATGGTGAAACCCCATCTCTACAAAAATAAAATAATTACCTGGGTGTGGGGGTGTGCACCTGCGCTTTCAGCTACTTGGGAGGCTGAGGCATGAGAATTTCTTAAATCTGGGAGGCAGACGCTGCAGTGAGCCAAGATTGTACCACTGCACTCCAGCCTGGCTGATAGAATGAGAGCCTGTCTCAAAAAAAAAAAGAAAGAAAAAAGAAAAAGAATTGGCTCTGGGGTATAGAGGCTGTCCCTGGTCGTCTAGCTCTGGGACCTGGAGTGATTAGGAGAGGGCAACACTGACCTTGATTGTGAGAACCCCATAATGAAGGAGGTTGGGGGTGTGGGCTCCGGATTTATTGGTTTGCATTTAAAGGGCATACTTGAGGACAAGTGGTTTACTGGCTCTAGAAATTAACTAACCCTGGGAGAGGCGGTCCCACCAAGGTCAGCAAGGCCCCAAGATATCAAAGCATCAGATATAGAAAAGACAAGACATGGTTAATAGAGAGAGATGGATGAAATGGTCCCCAAGTGCAGTAGAAAGTGGAAGGCCCTGGCCCTCCTCTTACTCCATTGCCGTGTCCTCTTCAGGACCACTCCCAGACCTTTGCTCTCAGTCACTGTAGACCCTGGAATGACTCTAGGTCTCAGGATACTTCCATGTCTCACTCCATACAATGGGACTGACTGTACTGTAATTGCTCTGCTGAAAATGGGGATCCCAGAGCCACTACAAGTCGAGAAAGTAAGAGAAAAACAGACTGATTTCATGCTCTGGAATGTGACAAGTCATGACAGTGGAAACTACAGCTGTGTGTATTACCTGAGTGACTCATCACACTTGGCCTCCTTGCCCAGCACCAAGCTGGAGATCAGGGTGACAGGTGAGGATGGAGTGATAACACTGACATGTGACATGTATCCAGCATTTTCTATGTTCCCGTCTCCACGACAGGTAACTTGCCTCCATTAACTCATTCAGTCTTCACTTCCTATGAGGGTGGTTGCGTTACTAACTTCTTTTTGCTTATAGAGATTAGGTCACCTCCCTGGTGTCACAAAGACAAGTAGCTTCACAGCTCCTGTTCAGACATAGTTGAAAATTTACATTTCTTTATGCCAGAGAAGAAAAGCCAGAAACAGTGTCCAGTGCTCTATGGGTGATGTATGAATGGCAGATAATGCAGTGTGGGGCTAAGAGATCCCATTGTGTGGGAAAGTGTGGCAGGCATGGTGCAAGTAACTGGAAAAANAAAAAAAAAAAAAGCACAACATTCCATTACCTTTGCCATAGCTATTGGCGAGAAGAAAGTCACAGGTCTCCACACTCAAGGAGAGGGGATTAGACAAAGGCATGAACACCAGGAAGCAGGGCTTCTGAGTCTCCTGAGTGCCCCCTCTTAGGGTCTACCTGCCACAGGCATGCAGGATGAGAATGACCCAACCACACCGATATCTGGAGAAGAGCCCTCCAGGGAGAGAGGGCAGGAAAAGCAAAGTCCCAGAAGTGTGAGTATTCCTGGAATGACTGAGACACAGAAAGGAGGACAGAGAAAAGAACAGAATAAAAGGTGTGGATAGAGCACCTTAGGAGGCCGAGGTAGGCAGATCACGAGGTCAAGAGATCGAAATCATCCTGGCCAACATAGTTAAACCCCGTCTCTACTAAAAATACAAAAATTAGCTGGGTGTGGCAGTGCATGCCTGTAATCCCAGCTACTCAGGAGGCTGAGGCAGGAGAATCGCTTGAACCCGGGAGGTGGAGGTTGCAGTGAGCTGAGATTGTGCCACTGCACTCCAGCCTGGGTGACAGCGTTAGACTCTGTTTCAAAACAAAACAAAAAAAGAATGGTGTGGATAGAAGATGAGGCCTAGAGCATCTAGGGTGTTTGAACTGGTCCTAGACTCTGCTTTGAAAGAACAGGATTCCACTGATGAAGTTGAACTGGAGAATAGCATGATTTTTATATGCTTGAAGAGTCACTAGCTGCTGGTTTTTTTTGTTTGTTTGTTTCTTGAGACAGGGCCTCAATCAGTTGCCCAGGCTGGAGTGCAGTGGTGCAATCCTGGCTCACTGCAGCCTTGACCTCCCAGGCCCAGTTGATCCTCCCACCTCAGCCTCCCAAGTAGCTGAGACTACAGGTGCATGCCACCATGCCCAGCCTCTGGTTGCTTTTGGAAACTAAGGGATTAGATGGAGTAAGAGTTGCTACATTTCAGGCAGCATGACTTTTTAAATTTAAAAATATTGAATTGGTAAATGAAGATTGTATATATTCAAGGTGTACAATGTGGTGATTTGATCCACCTGTAGATTGTGTAATGATTATCAGTCAAATTAATTAGCACATCCATTGCCACCATGCTGTGCACGTGAACTTGTTCATGTTGGAAGTTTATACCCTTTCATCAACATCTCCCCATATATCATGCTAACCAAAATAAGCCAGACTCAGAAAGGCAAATTCTGCATGATCTCATGCATGTGTAGTCTCAAAAAGCCAATCTCATAGAAGCAGAGAGTATACTGGTGGTTGCCAGGGGCTGGTGAGTAGGTGATATTTTAACTGAGACTAAATGGTGCCACTGGTGTTATAGAAATCCAGGCCAGGTGCGGTGGCTCATGCCTGTAATCCCAGCACTTTGGGAGGCCAAGGCTGGTTGATCACTTGAGGCCAGGAGTTTGAGACTAGCCTGGCCAACATGGTGAAACTCTGTCTCTACTAAAAATACAAAAAATTAGCTGGGCATGGTGGCGCGTGCCTGTAGTCCCAGCTGCTCGGGAGGCTGAGGCAGGAGAATTGCCTGAACCCAGGAAGTGGAGGTTGCGGTGAGCCGAGATCGTGCCATTGCACTCCAGCCTGGGTAACGAGAGTGAAACTCCGTCTCAAAAAAACAAAAAAACAAAAAACAAACAAACAAACAAACAACAACAACAAAAAAAAACACTATCGACTGGGCATGGTGGTTCATGCCTATAATCCCAGCACTTTGGGAGGCTGAGGCTCTGTGCTGTTTTACACACCAGCTTCTTCAGAACCTGGAAGCACTTTAGAAGGTACCTCCCTGACCCCCCAAAACACAGCAGTTTCCCCAATAACATTGAGAAAGTGGGCATTAAAGTTCTTCTTGTAGGCCTGGTGCGGTGGCTTGCGCCCATGATCCCAACACTTTTAGAGGCTGAGGTGGGGGAATTGGTTGAGGTCAGGAGTTTGATACCAACCTGGCCAACATGGTGAAACCCTGTCTCTACTAAAAACTCCATCTCAAAAAAAAAACAACAACAAAACAAAAAAACTCCAGGAGTATTAGGAAGAGTAATCTGGGATTCTGTCCCCGGTCTGAGGACCCAGGGAGCATCTAGGGAATGGAGAAGTCATTCTCTTTTCTGCTTCCCAAACAGGACATGAGGACTCCTGCCCACAATGTTCCCATATGATTAGCCTAATTCCCTGTCTTCCCTTCTATTTTCCAGATAAACACGATGAACTTGAAGCTCCCTCAATGAAAACAGGTAAGATAATTAGAAAGGAGATGTTTTTCCCAATTAGATCTGCTTCATAATACAGGGGATCACCTTTCCTTAAAGTGTACAGGAGGAATTTATTTTTATTTTATTTATTTTTGAGACAGAGTCTCGCTCTGTCACCCAGGCTGGAGTGAAGTGGCACAATCTCAGCTCACTACAACCTCCACCTCCCGTGTTCTGGGTTCAAGCAATTCTCCTGCCTCAGCCTCCCAAGTAGCTGGGATTATAAGCACCCACCACCATACCCAGCTCATTTTTTTTTTTTTAGTACAGATGGGGTTTCACCATTTTGGTCAGGCTGGTCTCAAACTCCTGACCTCAGGTGATTGACCCCACTCGGCCTCCCAAAG